TGATGCCATGGCACTCTACTCCGGGGGATAGCTTGAGGCTCTGTCTCAAAAAAAAAAAAAAAAAAGAAGAATTTGCCTGGTTCTGTTGCTATTTCCTGGCAGGGAGCCTCTAAAACCCCTAAGTAAGAGAAGTGTCTTTTTTATTGATGGCAGACCCCTTTGACCACACTTGAGTTTATGCTGACTCATGATGGGCCCTGAGACAGTCCCAGGATGATGCTAGCCATGCCAGAGTGACCATGTGATTGGAGGGTTGAGGCTTTAAGCCACCTAATTATCAATCAGTCTTACCTCTTAGAAGAGAAAGGGGTTAGAGACGGATCAATCACACGGCCTGGCCAATGATTCAATAAATCCTGCTATGTCATGAAACTCCAATAAAAACTTTGGATGCTGATGTTTGAGTCAAAATCCAGCTGGTGATACTCAGTGATGTGCCAGGAGGGTGATGCATCCTGACATGGAAACTTTGCCTTTGGGGCCTTCCCATATCTCACCCTACGTGTCTCTCTTTTTTAGCTAACCTTGATCTGTATCCTTTATAATAAAACTTTAATTTCAAGAATTGAGTTTTCCTAAGTTCTGAGATATGTTCCAGTGAATTATCAAACATGAGGAGGTAGTAGAAACACCTGAACTTGTAGCTGGTTGGTCACAAGTACAGGCGGCTTGGGGACCTCCTGAACTTGTGGCTGGTGTCTGAAGTGAGGAAAGTTTTGTGAAGACTGTGCCCACAACCTGTGAAATTTAACCCAACTCTAGGTCGTTAGTGTAAGAATTTCATTGCACCTACCCACTTGTTCCTGGAAGTGGCTTTATAGTTCTTTACAGTCCTGTTTGTCTGAAGAGCAATTTAAATCATAGAGCTACGAGTTCAAAAGAGAGAGAGAAGACAGTAACATTCCTAACAGGGTATACTGCTCTCCAAACACATTTCCCTAATACTCTCCCTCTCCATCTCGGGGTGGAATCAAAGGAGAGCCTAGAATGGGCCAAGTCCCAATTCTGTTCTTAGTCTTTTGTAAGTTTGTACTACCAAACAACCCATCCTCCATATCTCTGATCACCACTGTTATCTGGAACAGGGCTAGGGGACAGAAGAGCTTGTGGTCAGTAAGTGCCCTCTGGCTTGCTGAGCCACAACTCCTGCCAAAGCTTCCTGCTATTCATAGGCCAGAATCAAAGCAGCAGTCTTCCTAAATACAAAAAACATGGGTCAAGAGCATCACCTGAGGGAGTCTGGCCACTTGTCCTCTGCAATACTGCTTAGCAACTTCTGGAATGATCTAAAGAGTTCCACCTTGCTGATTCGGGATCTGTTTGGAAAAAGAAGACAAAGATAATTTATTAAGTGCCTACAACATACCAGGATCCTATCAAAGAAACCAGGCTTCACACAGTGTTTTAGGGCTGAATGCGCCAGAGCCCCTATTTTCACCTGTACTTGACAAAGAGAACATATAGACCTGGATATCTGATCAGGATAAGTCACCAAAATGAATCCCATTAAGAAACATCATCAGAGTAAGTAAAGCAAGCAGACAGCCTTCAGAATGGGAGAAGATATTTGCAGGTTATGTCTCCGACCAAGGTTTAATAACAAGAATCCACAGAGAACTCAAATGTATTAGCAAGAAAAGAACAAGTGATCCCATTTCAGGGTGAGCAAGGGACTTGAAGAGAAAATTTTCTGAAGACAGACAGACACACGGCCTACAGACACATGAAAAAATGCTCATCATCCTTAATCATCAGAGAAATGCAAATCAAAACCACTTTGAGATATTATCTAACCCCAGTAAGATTAGCCCACATCACAAAATCTCAAAACCAGAGATGTTGTCATGGTTGTGGAGAAAAGGGAACACTTCTGTACTGCTGGTGGGAATGCAAACTAATATGTTCCTTTTGGAAAAATGTTTAGAGACCACTTAAGGATCTAAAAATACGCCATTTGATCCTGTAATTCCTCTACTAGGCATATATCCAAAAGACTAAAAATCACTTTATAACAAAAATATTTGCACCAGAATGTTTATTGCAGCCCAAATCATAATTGCTAACTCACGGAAGAAGCCAAGTGTCCATCAACCCAGGAATGGATCAATAAATTGTGGTATATGTACCCCATGGAATATTATGCAGCCTTAAAAAAAGATGGAGACTTTACCCCTTTCATGTTTACATGGATGGAGCTGGAACATATCCTTCTTAGCAAAGTATCTTAAGAATGGAAGAAAAAGTATCCAATGTACTCAGCCCTACTATGAAACCAATTTATAGCTTTTATATGAAAGCCCAAGAAGGAGAAAGAGGAGAGGGAGGATGGGTGGAGGGAGGGCAATTGGTGGGACCACACCTATGGTGCATCTTACAAGGGTACATGTGAAAATTTACTAAGTGTAGAATATAAATGTCTTAACACAATAAAAAAAAAAAAAAGAAAAGTCAAGTCATCAGCAGTGTAATCATTATAGAGACAAGTTCAAATGGGTGAACCAAAGTGCAATTACTAAATTTTGCCCCAGGGTATCTATAAGACACTTCTGGCTACCTGCTTTTCAACAGAGCTGGCCCCCATGGGTAATACTGTTCTCAAAAAATAGAAAGCTTTGTTTCAGAGACTTGAGGGCTGTTCTCTTTGTAAACTGTAGTTACTTAAAGTCCACAGACTCTCCAGACTCCCCCTGTGGGTATGATGGGCCTTTAGAGGCCAAGTCTTTGCTCCTAAAAACAAACCTCTGGATGGAGGTCATGGTTTGGAATACTGAAGGAAGTGAGTGTTGATTCTTTACCAGCCCACATAGGCCTTCTTGGTTTCTGTTCATCCATGCCAGGGTGGCCTTGATTGTATGGGCTACCTTCCTTTCCCTCTTGTCTACAATTCACAAGATGTTATCCGGAAATGGGAAAATGTGTGTGCCAACAATGTGCAGTCTCATCTTTACATACTATACGCTGGATCATCTTAGCAGATCGTATACTCAGCTTGGACACAGTGGCCATATCTAGTATGTGTGAAACAGGGAATTGTACTGTCTGCCCTTACCTGCTGAGCTCCCTTACCTGCTGAGACCCAGCCTGCTTCAGGAATGGATGCTTAAAGTGGAACCTTGAGCCCTCACTCACTGCTCTCCCTACGACTTAACTGTGTGGAGTGGCTGGGGGCATTCAGGAATATAAAGCTGTTTTAATATGACAACAAAGCAAAAACTAACAGAATCTTAATAAACAGATTAAAGATGAAAAAAATAATATAATTATGAGAAAATACATAAAAAGTGTTTGGTAGAATTCAATACTTTTTGAGTAATTAAAAACCTTTTAACTGGGCCTGGCATGGTGGCTCATACCTGTAATCCCAGCATTTGGGAGGCTGAGGCGGATGGATTGTCTGAGCTCATAGCTTTGAGACCAGCTTGAACCAGAGTTAAGACCCTCGTCTCTAAAAATAGCCAGGCATTGTGGAGGGTACTTGTAGTCCCAGCTTCTCATGAGGCTGAGGCAAGAGAATTGCTTGAGCCCAAGAGTTTGAGGTTGCTGTGAGCTGTGATGCCATGGCACTCTACTGAGGGCGACAAAGTGAGATTCTATCTCTAAAAATGAAACAAAACAAAACAAACCCTTTTAGCAAACTGGGACTAGGAAAGATAGTACTTCAACTCATAAAGGGGCTCTATAAAGAACTATAACAAATGCACGACCTTTAATCTGGAGTGGCACTAGGGTACTTGTCATCACTGCCTTCATTCAGCATCACACAGAAAGTTCTGGTCAATAAGACAAGAAACTAGAAAAAGGAGTAAGAATGGAAAAACAAAAATCAAGTCATCATTTGCAGATTGTGGGACTACTAGCTCTAGTTAGCACAGTCGGACAGAATGGAGGACTGGGAAGGAAGACACATCACAGTTGTCCCTTTAACGACATGGGACTTGTGCCGCCCTGTGGGTGCCCTGACACATGGATTTTCTTCCACTTCTGTCACCCCTGAGACAGCAAGACCAACCTTTCCTCCCCCACCCCAGCCTCAGTGTGAAGATAACAAGCATGAAGACCCTAATGATGATTCACTTCCACCTAATAAATAGCAATTACATTTTCTCTTCCTTGTAATTTTCTTAATAATATTTTCTTTTCTCCAGCTTACTTTACATATTAGTACATACTTTACATATCTAGTACACATTACATATAAAATTGTTAATCAACTATTCATATGCATTATTGGTAAGGCTTATGGTCAACTATGGGCTATTGGAAGTTAAGTTTTGGAGGAGCCAGAAGTCATCGGCAAATTTTTGACTGGACTTGTGCTTAGTCACCCAGATAATTGGAAACAGAGCTATGGTTAGAACACGAGGCACTCCTGGTCACACAGATAACACTGACATGCTGGGACAAGCTCCACAGCAGCACTATAGGAGTCTAGAGAAAAGATGATCATTTTAAACCAGATGACAGGCTTTTTAGACAAAAGAGGGTATGAACTCAGAGCAAAGAAAAGCATTTCACTTCTGGGCAATGCAGCAAACAGAAGCCATGTCCGCTGGATAGGGCCAGTATGAGGAGCCGAAAAGTTGCAACTGACAACAGACAGCTCAGCAGGAGACACAGTCTCTGTCCCTCATGACCTGCTCTGCTCACCAATCCTTGTCTGTGGCTGAGAGTTGGGTTTCCTGAGAAGTGCAAAAGGTGACCTGAAACCAGGAAGGCTTTTGGGGAAAAACTGGACCACAAATCTCTATTCCTAACAATTTTGCAAATATTACTTAATTCAAAAGCCTAGGCTGTCAGGAGACAGGCAGGGTCTACTATCTAGGCCGTGTGAACCCTGGCAATTGGGTGGCGCCTCTGGCTCAAAGAGTAAGGCGCCAGCCCCATATACTGGGGGTGGTGGTTCATGCCTGGCCCAGGCCAAAACTGCAAAAATAAAAAAATAAAAAATAAAGAACCCTGGTAATTATTGGCTGTGAAGAAAAAAAATTTCTAAAATCGGGGCGGTGCCTGTGGCTCAGTAGGTAGGGTGCTGGCCCCATATACCAAGGGTGTGGGTTCGAACCTAGCCCCAGCCAAACAGCAACAAAAGAATAGCCGGGCGTTGTGGTGGGCGCCGGTAGTCCTAGCTACTCAGGAAGCTGAGGCAAGAGAATCGCCTAAGCCCAGGAGTTGGAGGTTGCTGTGAGCTGTGATGCTAATGCACTCTACCAAGGGCGATAAAGTGAGACTCTGTCCCCCAAAAAAGAAAAAGTTTCTAAAATAGATGTAGGTTGGCTGAGTTTTGTTTTGAGGTATGCAAATACATGTGTCAAAAAGAAAGAAATCTATCTGCGAACTTTTATTACAAATTCAACTTTTCACAAGGGCATGATGAAGAAACTGACAGGCAACTTAGAGTAAAAAAGCTGTCAACACTGGGAGTGCACCAGCAGTTACAGTGGTAGCAGTTCAATCCAGACTGAGATGGAAATAAACACCTTCCGTGGAGAGGCCATTCCCTCCTGCCCCTGGGCTGTTCCAGACCAGTGGAACAAGCAGGGTGATGAGATCAGCTAAACATAGAGAAAGAGACACACGTGTAACACAGATGCATGAACCTCCTGGGATAAAACCCGAGTCTCACGTATAGCAGCTCATAAGCACTGTACTTCAGCAAAAGATAACCTGAAGGTACAAAGTCCTGTTTGCAGTTTCCCTTTTTGCCTGTCCAATCACTGTGAAGTTTCATAAATGATTCTTGAGTTCTGACCCTGACCTACTAAACCAGAATTCCTAGTGGTGAAACCCAAGAAAGTATTATTTTTAAAATCTCCCCAGGGGAAACAATAGTTGTTCTAAAAAATGGTGCTAGGACAACTGTATATTCTATTCAAAAGAATAAAGCTGGACTCCTTCCTCATACCACATTAAAAAAATTAACTCGGCTCAGTGCCTGTGGCTCAAGTGGCTAAGGCACCAGCCACATACACCCAAGGTGGCAGGCTCGAATCCAGCCCAGGTCTGCCAAACAACGATGGCTGCAACCAAAACATAGCCAGGCGTTGTGGCAGACGCCTGTGGTCCCAGCTACTTGGGAGGCGGAGGCAGGAGACTCGCTTGAGCCCAGGAGTTGGAGGTTGCTGTGAGCTGTGATGCCACAGCACTCTGCCCAGGGGGATAGCTTGATGCTCTGTCTCAAAAAAAAATTAACTCAAATGTATCAAAGTCCTAAACATAAGAGCTAAAACTATCAGAAGGGCAGTGGTCCCAAGGGTGGCAGGTCCAAACCCGGCCCTGGCCAAACTGCAACAAAAAAATAGCCGGGCGTTGTGGTGGGTGCCTGTGGTCCCAGCTACTCTGGAGGCTGAGGCAAGAGAATCGCCTAAGCCCAAGAGCTGGAGGCTGCTGCGAGCTGTGACGTGACAGCACTCTAAGGGTGACAAAGTGAGACTCTGTCTCTTAAAAAAAAAAAAACTATCAGAAGAAAGTACAGAGTAAACCTTTGTAACCTTGGATTCAGGCAAAGTTTTTTTAGATATGACACTAAAATACAACCAACCAAAGGGAAAAGATACAAAAATTTGACTTCATCAAAATTTAAAACTTTTATGCTTTGAAAGACACAATCAGGCTCAGCATGATAACTACAACCAAAAAGTAGCCAGATATTGTGGCGGGCGCCTGTAGTCCCAGCTACTTGGGAGGCTGAGGAAAGAGAGATGGAGGTTGCTGTGAGCTGTGACACTACGGTACTCTACCCAGGGTAACAGCTTGAGGCTCTGTCTCAAAAATAAATAAATAAATAACATGATCAAAAAGTGAAATGACAACCCATAGAACTGGAGAAAATATCTCCAAGTCATATCTGATAAAGGACTAGTAGGCAGAACATATAAAGGAATTTTGCAACTCAACAACAAAAAGACAAGTTACCAATTAACAAATGGGCAAGGGATTTGAATAGGTATTTCTCCAAAGCAGATATAGATAAATGGTTAATAAGTACATAAAAAAGACGCTCAACACCATTAGTCATTAGGGAAATGCAAATCAAAATCATGAGATACCACTCCCCATCCATGAGAACCAGTACAAGTAAGAAAAATACTAAGTGTTTAAAGAATGCAGGGTAATTGGAACTCCATACATTGTTGGTGGAATGTAAAAGGGCACAATTGCTAAGGAAAATAGCTTACCAGTTCCTCAAAAAGTTAAGCATATGGTTATCATATAACTAGCAATTATGCCCCTAGGTATACCCAAGAAAATGGAACACATATCTCTGCCCAAAAACCTGTACACTAATGTTCATAATAGCACTATTCACAACAGTCAAAAAGTGAAACGACTGAATGTCCACTCATGAACTATATAGTTTGGACGTTTGTCCTGTCCAAAGCTCATGTTGAAATCTGATCTCCAAAGCTAGAGGTGGGAGGAGTTTGGATCTTGGCAGCAGATCCCTCAAGAAAGCTTTGGTGCTCTTCTGGAGGTGATGAGTTCTCACATGAGCTGGTTGTTCAAAAGAGCCTGGCACCTCCTCCTCTCTTGCTCCCTCCTGTCATGTGACACACCTTGCTCTGTCTTCACCTTCTGCCTTGACAAAAAGCTTTCTAAAGCCCTCAGAAGCAGATGCTGGTGCCAGGTTCTTGTACAGCCTCCAGAATCATGAGCCAAATAAACCTCTTTTTTTTTTTTCTTTTTTTGAGACAGGGCCTCAAGCTGTCCCCCTGGGTAGAGTGCCGTGGCATTACAGCTCACAGCAACCTCCAACTCCTGGGCTCAAGTGAGTCTCCTGCCTCCGCCTCCCAAGTAGCTGGGACCACAGGCGCCCGCCACAACGCCCGGCTATTTTTTGGTTGCAGCCGTCATTGTTGTTTGGCGGGTCTGGGCTGGGGATTTGAACCCGCCACCTTAGGTGTACGTGGCTGGCGCCTTAGCCGGTTGAGCTATAGGTGCCGAGCCATAAACCTCTTTTCTTTATAAATTACCTAGTTCCAGGTATTCCTTTATAGCAACACAAGATGGATTAAGAGTACAAATGAATGGATAAACATAAAGTGGTATATCCATTCAAGGGGATATTATTCAAGCCATGAAAGTATTGCCGTATGTTACGTCATAGATGTAGCTCCAAAATACTATGCTAGTGAAAGAAGCTAGATACAAAAGGTCACGTATTATATGATTCCAATTACATGAACTGTCAGAATAGACAAATCCATGGATTAGAGGTTTCTAGGAGCTGAAGAGAGAAGGAGGAGTCGCAGTGACTGCTAATGATACCTGATTTTGTTTGGGGGTGATAATAATGTTCTGGAATTAGTGGTCAGGTGTGAGTTCACAGCCACCATTTCCCCTGCCCCATGCTGTACCTTGCCTGAAGGCTTCCAATTCCTTTCTTTGTTGTTCCCTGGGGAAAGCCATTAGCAGTAACATCTAGTGGCTGCTCAGGGACTGCACTCCAGCTGATGGCTGTGAAAAGAAAAGATTCTAGGATTAACACTTCTGTTTCAGTAATTGTTAACTATTATAGTAGTGGTGAACCCTGAACCACCTTATACCATTGTACCCTGGAGTACCAAAACTATTTTACTTTATTATTTATTTATTATTATTTTTGAGACAGAGTCTCACTTGGTTGCCCTCGGTAAAGTGCCACGGTGTCACAGCTCACAGCAACCTCCAACTCTTGGGCTTAAGCGATTCTCTTGCCTCAGCCTCCAGAGAGTAGCTGGGACTACAGGTGCCTGCCACAACGCCTGGCTATTTTTCATTGCAGTTGCCACTGCTGTTTTTAGCTGGCCAGGCCAGGTTCGAACCCGCCACCCTTGGTTTATGGGGCCGGCACCCTAACCACTGAACCACAGGCACTACCCTATTTTACTTTATTTTTTATTGTTATTTTTGTTTTAGAAACAGGGTCTTACTACTTTGTCCAGGCTAGATTTGAACAACTGGGCTCAAGTGATCCTCCTGCCTCAACCTTCTCAATAGCTGAGATTACAGCAAGGTACCACCATGTGCCCAACATGGAAATTATTTTAATAAAAAAATTTCTTGACTTTACAGACCCCTGAAGGCTGGATGTCAGAGACCATGAGTGCCACTTGGATGTTTGGCCTCCAGGGTACAATGGTATAAGGTGGTTCAGGGTTCATCAATACTATAATAGTTAACAATTACTGAGCATTTATTGTATGATGATGGACACAGAATTTCTCACTTTATCTTTGTAATAACACTGATAAATGCTATTCTTCTTCTTCTTTTTTTTTTTTTTTTGACAGTCTCACTTTGTTGCCTTTGGTAGAGTGCCGTGGCACTATAGCTCACAGCAACCTCAAACTCTGGCTCAAGCAAGTCTCTTGCCTTGGCCTCCCCAGTAGCTGGGACTACAGGTGAAGGCCACAACACCCAGCTTTTTTTTTCTTTTTTAAGAGATGGGGTCTTGGCTCGGCGCCTATAGCTCAACCGGCTAAGGCGCCAGCCACGTACACCTAAGGTGGCAGGTTCGAATCCCCAGCCCGGACCCGCCAAACAACAATGACGGCTACAACCAAAAAAAAAAAAAATGGCCGGGCGTTGTGGCGGGCGCCTGTGGTCCCAGCTACTTGGGAGGCGGAGGCAGGAGACTCGCTTGAGCCCAGGAGTTGGAGGTTGTTGTAAGCTGTGATGCCACAGCACTCTACCCAGGGGGACAGCTTGAGGCTCTGTCTCAAAAAAAAAAAAAAAAAAAAAAAAGAGATGGGGTCTTGGACTTGCTTGTGGTCTCAAACCTATGAGCTCAGGGAATCCACCTGCCTCGGCCTCCCAGAGTGCTAGGATTACAGGCATGAGCCACTAGGATTACAATGATATTTTTCTGATCTAAAGATAAAGAAGGTAGGCCAAGAGAGGGTAAGTAGCTTGTCAAAGGTCACAGAGAGCATAAACCTGACCCAGTATGGGTGTCTCCAAAGCCCACACTATTGACCCTCCCAGGCCACTCTCAGTCATCTTACTCCAGGGCAAGGCCAACCTGGATCTCTTACCTGCCCCACAAGGAACAAGTCGGCCCGAGCTGTCAGCCCTTTTTGCCTGCACTGCACAACGGCTGTGTTCAAATGGTAAATCTGACTGCTGTATTTTTAGTTCTTGAACTCCAAAGCCTTTGGGTAAAGTTGATACATTCTGACACCTAAATATGAGGGAAAATCCATTCAGTTTAGGCACATGCCCAGAAAAAAAATAGTATTTAGGAGTGTGAACACCATTACCCCTGAGCCTCAGTGGGATCAAAGACCTTAAGAAGCGAGTGAGTTGGTTTATTTATTAGGGTAAGGGACAAGAGAATGTGCTAGAATACACACTATGATGGCTATCACTTAATCTTTACCAAAGAACCTTATGGCTAGAGGAAGATCCTTCCCCATCATGCTGAAGAGATAACTAAGCATCAAGTCGACACCCTTTTATGATGGCAGTAACACCAAATTCCATTCCTGATACAGGCTGAGAAATCTGTAAGCAAGCATCCTGCAAGCTTGGAAATATGATCTGGAAAATATGATCTGGACAGAATGCCCAATGTTTCCGTTTAAACAGAAACATTAATGTGTTGGCACCTGTTTCCTGAGGCATCCTTCAAACACACCAACACCCCAAACTAACCTATAGTATAAAAGCTTCCTTTCTTTCTCTTGTACCTTCTGCACAAACCAGCTGCTGACATGATGATGATACCAGTCTCAAATTGAGAAGAGAGCAACTCCAAGTCCCAGAATAGAGAAAACATTCTGAGACTAGTACCTAGGGTTGCCTTTTCTTTTCTTTTCTGGCAGTTTTTTTTTTTTGGCCGGGGCTGGGTTTGAACCCGCCACCTCTGGCATATGGGGCCAGCGCCCTACTCCTTTGAGCCACAGGCACCGCCCCTCCTTTTCTTTTTTTTAAAAGTATTCACAGGGATATAGTTCACATACCATAGAATTCACCCATTTAAAGTATGTAATTCAATGGTTTTTAGTATATTCACAGAATTGCACAACCATCACCACAATGTAATTTCAGAACATTTTCATTACCCCAAAAAGAAACCTTGCACCCATTAGCAGTCTGTCTTTATCCCCTTCTCCAGCCCCTGCTAAGCACTAAGCTGCTACTGTCTTCATGGATTTGCCTTTTCTGGATATTTCACATAAATGGAATGGTACAGCATGGAGCTTCTTTCACTCACTGTGATGTTTTCAAGGTTTCTTCATGTTGGAGCATGTATCAGTACTCAGCAACCCAGTCCTTTCTCTGGCTGAGTCATATTCCATTATATACTCATACCACATTTTATTTACCATCCACTCACCCACTGTTGGACATGTGTCTCACTCTTTGGATATCATGAATAATGCTGCTATGAACATTTGTGTACAAGTTGTTGTGTGAATGCATGTTTTTGTTTCTCTTGGATGTATACCGAGGAGTGGAATTCTGGGTCATACTGTGGGGCTGCCCATGTGACATGGGCCCATGATGTTTTCTCCGGCCATGGCTTTGCCCTGCTATCATTTGCTACAGCGCTAGTCAGCTTTGGCTGTCTCCATTAAGGAGACCACATGAGTGATCATCCTTTATCTTTTTAAAACTTTTTTTTTTTTTTTTGAGATAGAGCCTCAAGCTGTCCCCCTGGGTAGAGTGCCATGGCTTCACTGCTCACAGCAACCTCCAACTCCTGGGCTCAAGCGAGTCTCCTGTCTCAGCCTCCCAAGTAGCTGGGACCACAAGCGCCCACCACAACGCCCGGCTATTTTTTGGTTGCAGCCATCATTGTTGTTTGGCAGGCCCGGGCTGGATTCAAACCCGCCACCTTAGGTGTATGTGGCCGGTGCCTTAGCTGCTTGAGCCACAGGCGCCAAGCCTAAAACTTAAAACTAATATTTAGGGGCTTACAAAATTTATAATAGCAATATATGTACACTGTAGAAAAATTAGGAAATACAGTAATAACAAAGAAGGAAAAAACCCATAATACAACTCAAAATTATTAATACCTTGGTGTACGTACTCTTACAATTTTTCCTACGTGTAATTAAGACCAAAATGAGCTCATTTTATCTTTAAACTGCTCTTAACCATAATAAACATGTTTCCATATTAAATATCTATCTGTCTATCTATCTATCCATATATGTATATATTTTTTGGAGGCAGAGTCTCACTTTGTCGCCCTGGGTAGAGTGCCATGGTATCACAGCTCACAGCAACCTCAAACTCTTGGGCTCAAGCAATCCTCTTGCCTCAGTTTTTCTACTTTTAGTAGAGATGGGGTCTTGCTTTTACCTAGGCTGGTCTCAATCTCATCAGCTCAAGCAATCCACCCACCTCAGCCTCCCAGAGTGTTAAGATTACAGGTAAGAGCCACCAGGCCTGGCCAGGGATAGAGATTTTTAAGGCTCACTGGACATAATCTCAAACTGCCTCTGGGAATGATCGTTCCAATTGAACTCTCTCTCCTACCCTCTCACCTCTCAATCAGTGCTCTCTGCATGGCTTCCTGGCTGTATGGACACTTCCCAATGACTACAGCTGTCAGGTAGATGGGCTCTTCCAGGAAGTGCATCAACAGTGCCCCTTGGCATCCAAGGACATTCCATCGGGCCAGCTTGTCACTGCAGGACATGGAGTGAGTCCTGTCTCCCCGACCTGGCTTCACTCGGAGCAGCCCCACCTGGTGATATGCAGCACCAGGCTTTCTTGAGTCTCCAGCTTCTCCAGGCACACACTTGGCTCCAGTTCTATGAACGTCCACTGCTTTGGCACCATTGATGGCTACTGTGGTGAGAGAGGCCAGTTCCTCTACAGTAAGGATTGAGCTGCTGACACTTGGTAGGATTAGACCACTTTCCTGCTTGTCAAAACTCTGATGGTGAGCTGCACCATTGGCAACCTCCCTGGTAGGAGTTTCGAGCTCAAGCCTCATCCTTTTGGTTACAGGACTGTCAGGGTCTTCACAATTCTTTTTATTTTCAGGAGCTTCCAAGTTACCACTGGCTTCTACTGATGGGTTGGTGGCCCAATCTCTGCTGACGATACAGCAAGGTTGATCTTCAAACTCAAGCATTGGAATGATTGAGGCATCCCCACCTGCAGGAGAAGGGACCCCTTAAACAAGTGGCTCTCAAGTGAGGCTCCTGGGCCAGCCACAGTAGCATCTCTTGGGAACTCCTTAGAAATGCAAACTCTTGGGACCCACAGTAGACCTGCTGCATCAGAGACTCGGGAGGTAGAGCCAGCAGTGTGTGTTTTAACAAACTCTCCAGGTGACTGTGATGCAAGCTCAAGTTTGAGAACTACTGCCTTAAACAAAGATCAATCTGACCGTAGATGAGTTCAGATCACAGGTCCAAATATCCCTCATAAGAATCTTCTGGAATTCTTGTTGAAGACTCCTTCCCAGACCTATTGAGCTGAAATTTATAGAGAAGGGTCTGGAAAACTAAATATTTTAACAAAGATGCCAGGAAATTCTTATCACTAGGAAGTTTTGGAAATCCTTGTTTAGATGAGGGTTTCTCAACCACTGCTTTGCTGTGGGGGACAATATGGGTAGGACATTTAGCAGCAACCCTGGTCTCTTCCTACTCGATGCCAATAGCACCTCCTACTCTGACAATCAAAATGTCTCCAAATGGTGTCAAATTTTACTTCCCTGGAGAGTAAAACGGTCCCTAGTTGAGAATCACTGTTTTAGAATAAACAAGAATTATCAAGTGCATTTTGTGGAATGCTTTTCCATAAGAAGCCTTGGAAAACAAAGATGGGTGGTTTATTTCATAGTTAAATAAATTTGGCAAACATTGCTTAAAATATCCCCATCTTGAAGATTTTATGATGCAATGATGCATAACCTCACAGTAAAGACTCTGCAGTAAATTACACACCAGGTCTAAACCAGTGTTTCCCTGTGCTAGTTTAGAGATTTCTATTTCTGTGTTTGTAAGAAACCAAAGAAAACCAGAGGTCACTGAAAAGCACAGTTCTCCCTTCAGAGCCAGCTCTTCAAACACTAACCTAATGTATGTTGCTTTTCAGAAGTGTGTAAATAATACATCTGTAATCCTTATAACCTGAGGAAAGGGAAGAGAAGCAGAAGTGGGAATGATGCCAGAGAGACTGGCTGGCTGGCTTTCAGAGACCTTGACTTTGGAGACAAAGGTGACAGTGAGTTAAGAGAATTCACCAGGGTCCACCTCCCATTCTGCAAGCTTGGAAATATGATCTTGACAGAATGCCCAAACGAGAGGCTGACTCATGCTAATAACTCACAAGTAAGAGTATGAAGTAGCTAACCCAGGCATCGTGTTATTAATGAATAATGAGAAGTAAAAGCAAAGGGAACCAGGGAGTCACACTCTCTAGGTAGTGTTCTTTCTTTCTGCAGACAGACGACAGGACATGTCACATTTTACAGGATTATCAGAAAAATTTCGAGATGAATAGAGGGTTGCCAACTTTTTACTCCTTAAAGTAAAATCTTCAGAAATCCAAATTACCATCATTAAAAAAAAAAATCAACGGGTACAATACTGATACATGACACGCTCCCTGAGTGTAGGACACAGCTACAACTCTGACTTTAACCTTTCATGTTTAAATTATACATATAACCTAATGGCTTTTAACCCTCATATTCATCTGAAATTTTAAAAAACCCTCATGACCTTTACTTTGAAGGAAATTAGTTTTGGAAAAACTCATTATAGTCTTTTCTCTTCTTTTTGATAGTCTCAAGCTGTCACCCTGGGGTAGAGCGAAATGAAATCATAGCTCACAGCAACCTCCAACTCTTGGGATCAAGTGATCCCCTTGCCTCAGTTTTTCTATATTTTTAGTAGAGCTAGGGGTCTTGCTTTTTGCTCAGGCTAGTTTCAAACTCATGAGCTCAAGCAATCCACCTGCCTTGGCCTTTACAAGTGTGAGCCACTGCATTGATTTTTCTCCTTAGTGGACTCTTCTCTTTTTTTTTTTTTTTTTTTTTGATAAACATAATTTAAGTGTGCCATGGAAGTTTAACTACAGGTTCAAGTGTCCCTAGAGATAAAAGGTTGAAAATCACTGCCCTAAATCCTTCTTCAGCTTATCTACTCCCTGGGCCTGGTATGCATGTTTAGC